ACTATTCATGCCACCCTAATTTCACATGATTTATGGGTTGAAAAATACCACTGTAATCGCTAGTTGGAGAAGACTCCAATAATGGTAGAATCAATGAGAGAATTCAGATCTTGTCATTTAGGACATTCGACGCACTTGTGCAGAAGGTAAGCTTTGCATATATATTATCAGAAAGGTTTTGGAATTTGAAATGCATTTCCATCTTACTCTTCAGTTCCTTTCTTCCTGCCTTTTCTGTGTGTTTCCCCCCTGCCCCATCCCCAGTAAATCCTCACAGTAACCAGCTGAAAACATGAAAGACCTGAGAGATGTGTAGATAGACCATGTTTCTTCTGTGTCTTAAAGCTTTCACATCTAGAGAAGTGAGTGTTTGCTGAAAGCGCATCTGTGTATTCATACATTCACTTGGCCGCCAAGATAATGGGATTGCAGACACACTGCTCAGAGCTGCATGGATAACTAAGCATTTACTTATTATCAGGAAGGCAAATGCAGTTTCCAAGATCAAAGTGGACACTTCCTAGAAGCTACGTTTATTGCAAAAGGCTGAAGTGCCCGCCTTCCCAGGAATCAAAGGGACTTCAAGCAGAAAGGCAGGCTTACATTTGACAGGGTCCCGTTTTTGACAGGATGGCAACCATCTAAGTAGGTGACAGGATCGAGAGTTATTTAATTCCAAAACTTAGCAACGCTGCCAGCTCTGGGCTTAAGCAACAGTCCTGATACTGTGATGGCCACAGTTGGGGTCTGCCTGACAAAATTTTAACTGTCAGTGCAAGGACTGAGGATAATTTTAGAATTTTCACGAGTTGAAATTACTTTGGTAGTATCTTGATCCCATGCCTGCAGAAAGCAGGGGCCCCATTTGCTATTAAAGTGGAAGTAAAGTATTAATGAAATACATTATAACCCAACCATGATTACAGTATCTATTGGAAGAGTCATCTTGGATGAATCCTTGCCCTGAAATACAGCAACCTTGAGTAGCAGCAACTAGACAATGGCTAGTCTACCGTCAGTTGCCATCTACTAAGAGTTCCACTGTGTTTGTTGTTGTTGCTGCTCAGTCAGTAAGTCATGTCTGACTCTTTGCAACCCCATGGAACTGCAGCACACCAGGCTTCCCTGTCCTTCACTATCTCCCAGAGTCAGTTAAAACTCATATCCATTGAGTCAGTGATGCCATCCAACTACCCAACCACCTTATCCTCTGTCACCCCTTTCTCCTCCTGTCCTTGATCTTTCCCAGCATCAGGGTCTTTTCCAATGAGTCCGTTCTTTGCATCAGATGGCCAAAGTATTGGAGCTTCAGCTTTAGCATCAGTTCTTCTAATGAATACTCAGGGTTGATTTCCTTTAGGATTGACTTTTTTGATCTCTTTGCAGTCCAAGGGATTCTCAAGAGTCTTCTCCAGCACAGTTTGAAAGCATCAATTCTTCCTGGATCAGCCTTCTTTATGGTTCAACTCTCACATCTGTACATGACCACTGGAAAAACCATAGCTTTGACTGTTTGGATCTTTGCTGGCAAAATGATGCCTCTGCTTTTTAATATACAGTCTAGGTTTGTCATAGCTTTTCTTCCAAGGAGCAAGCGTCTTTTAGCATCCACTGTATTAAGAGGTTTTTTTTTTTTTTTTTTTTGGTATCTTCCCACACCAATTTGGCTTTGAAACCCAACCTAAGTCCCATTGCTAAGACTTTCAGATGTTTACCTTCATGGACTTGTGAAGATCATCTACTAGAAACTCCTTCTCTTGGATTACTGAAAAACTTCCCTGGTAGTTTTCAATATCCTTGAAATATTGGCTGGAGTATTTGGAAGAGTAACAAAGGGCTTCATTATTTCTTCTCCAAAACTGTCTAATAATTTAGGAGTCTGAAGAGGCGTCTTTCAGAAATTCTGGGTACTTAATGAGTGTGCTTCATAGACATTACATTTCGATTACAATAGAATAGCTTTTTTTTTTTTAAATAATAGAATCTTTTGTTTATAATAGAATTAGCTTTTTTCAGGCTAATGTCTTCTGATATCCCCCTTGTCCTCCCAAGAGCTTATCTTTCTGGAGACTATTAGAATTGGAGGAACCATTTTCTTGATATTTATCAAATGTTTACTGTAATTTAAAGCTTGAGTGTCACAGAACTCAGTTTTACACTTGCGAGTTTCTCTACTGCAAATGTTTATAGCCCATGTTTTGATGAAAAGACAGTATTGATTTTTTTGATGTTAAATTGTGTGAGCTGTTTATATAGTTTGGATATTAACCCCTTACCGGTTGTATCACCTGCAAATATTTTATCCCATTCTGTTGGTTGTCTTGTCATTTTGTTGATGGTTTCTTTTGCTGTGCAGAAAAGCTTTTAAGTTTAAGTAGTTCCCACCTGTTTATCTTTGCTTTTATTTCCTTTGCTTTAGGAAATGGATCTAAAAAAATATTGCTGCGATTTATATCAAAGGGTGTTCTGCCTATGTTTTCCTATAGGAATTTTATAGTCTACAGTTTTATAGTCTTACATTTAGGTTTTTAATCCATTTTGAGTTTATTTATTTGTTTGATATGGGCCATATCTTATTATTAGCACTTACAAGCAGTGTGAAAAGTGATCATAACAAATAAGTGAGATTTACCACATAAATCGTATTGCTTGCCTCAGGTATTATTACTAAGTATTTGGTTGTGAAGCTGGACTCTATGGGTTCTTTACTTTGGCATTTTATTTTTGTATATGGTTTTAGAGAATCATACAAATCAACATAAAAAAACCCAAAAAAACTAATTTAAAAAAGTGGGCAGAAGACCCTAATAAACATTTCTCCACAGAGGAAATACAGACAGCCAACATGCACATGAAAAGATGCTCAACATCACTAATTGTCAGGGAAATGCAAATTAAAACCACAATGAGACATCACTTCACGTCTGTCAGAGTGGCCATAATCAACAAGACCACAGTTAACGAATGTTGACAGAGGTGTGGAGAAAAGGAGGCACTTGCTTGCGCACCGTTGGTGGGAACGTGAATTGGTGCAGTCACTGCAGAGAACTGTGGGGGGGGGTTTCTCAAAAAACTAAGAATAGAACTACTACATGAACTGGCAGTTCCGATCCTGGGTATGTGTTAAAACAAACAAAGAAAAACACCAGTTGTCCAATGTTCACAGCAGCATTATGTATAGTAGCCAAGATATGGAAGCAACCTGTGTCCATCAGTAGATAAGTGGATCAAGAAGATGTCTCCATGGTATGTGTATGTATATATACAGTAGAAGATCTACTCTGGGTCTGTCATTTGGATTGAATTCCCCAAGTTTAAGTTCTGGGAGTGGCTGCTCAGAAACACAACCTTCCTTTATACAGAAGCAATTCCCAGCAGAGATGGAAAAAAGTGAAAGTGATAGTCACTGGGTCATATCTGACTCTGCCAACACTGGATGATGGCCCACCAGGCTCGTCTGTCCATGGGATATTTTTTTCTAGGGAAGAGTACTGGAGTGGATTGCCATTTCCTTCTCCAAGGGATCTTCAGGACCCAGGGATAGAACCTGAGTCTCCTGCATTGCAGGCAGATCTTTACCATCTGCATATTTTATATCATTCCCTCATACTGTAAACAAAAGTAGAGTAGTTCATTGAAATAATTCTTTAGGGCAGTGACCCCCAAGCTTTTTGGAACCATGGATTCATTTCATGAGAAACAACTTTTCCATAGACCTGGAAAAGGATAGTTTTGGGATGATTCAAGGGCATTACATTTATTGTGCGCTTTATTTCTATTATTGTTGTGATATATAATGAGATAATTATACAACTCACCATAATGCAGAATCAGTGGGGACGTTGAGCTTGTTTTCCTGCAACTAGATGGCCCCATCTGGGCGTGACGGGAGACAGTGAGAGATGAAGTATATTGCTTATGTCCAGTCTACTCCGAATTGTCATTTTGGTTGCTGTCCCTGCAGAAACCCTGCTTCACAAAGATAGGATTTTGGAAATGGAAGCAGGCTTTTTGGTGCTTTCGTGGCAATCTAGAATATTCCAGCTAGACTTTAAACCAGAAAGTATTGTGATCTGAAGTGATCTCAAACATAGTTTTAAGGCCGCCATCATTTGTGATCTCAGGTGGCAAAATGCTAGCGATGAGGAGCAGCTGTAAATACAGATGAAGCCTCCCTCACCTGTCCACTGCTCACCTCCTGCTGTGTGACCCAGTTCCTACCAGGTCATGAACCAGTATTTGTTCCTGGCCCAGGGATTGGGGACTCTTGCTTTAGGGAAAAGCACAATGAACAGAAGAGTTGATGCTTTCAAACTGTGGTGTTGGAGAAGACTCTTGAGAGTTTCTTGAACTGCAAGAAGATCAAAGTAGTCAATCCTAAGGAAATCAACCCTGGATACTCATTGGAAGGATTGATGCTGAAGCTCCAATACTTTGGCTACCCAATGCAGAGAGCCAACTCCCTGGAAAAGACCCTGATGCTGGGAAAGATTGAGGGCAGGAGGAGAAGAGGGCAACAGAGAATGAGACGATTGGAAGGCGTCACCAACTCGATGGACATGAGTTTGAGCAAACTCTGGGAGATAATGTGGGACAGAGGAGCCTGGTGTGCTGCAGTCCCTGGGGAGTCTGGACAAGACTTAGTGACTAAACAACAACGACAGGAAAGAACAGAGGGAACTGAAATGAAGAGAGAAGCTCTAAGAGAATATCTGAAAGGGGCTATGTCTCCCTTCTCTTTGCATTTGCTGTGAACTCTTCTTTTTCCTGATTCCACATTGCACATGTCCTCTCATGCTTAGAAAGTTGGAGAATGTACTCTGGCCACCTTATGGTTTTGTATACCCTGTAGGTCTGCCCTTTCCCCAGTGTCTTGTATACTTTTGCCACCTGTTTTATTCCATTTCGTTAGAGATAATTGTCCTGGTGGGTCTCCAGTTGACACACACATGCCCCAGCCACCGACCCCCTCCCCCTCAGCTCCCCAGGCTGCTACTCACTCAAAAGGGTCACTGGGGTCCGCCCTCTGCAGCTCTGGTGGGATGGGGATCCTCTTGTAGTACATCTCCCAGTCGAAGGCACCACGCATGGCATCTCCGGCTTGCGCCTCGTACCCAAAGTGATTGTGGTCAATGACGTCGATCATGGGGCAAACAATGGTCTTGTGGTTTAGTGCAATTTGGTCTGAAAAGTGGAAGCACAGAGTAGGAAGTGACATGCCTGCCTAGGTTGTCCCTCACTTTTCTGCAAAGAGAAGCCCTTCCTCACCCATCGCCCTTGAAGCCTGGTTCCCTGTTGTCTTCAGAGCACTTTGCAGTATCTCTGAATGCTGGGCTTGACGTGCTGGGGCCTTGATCAGGTGCAATTAGTGTTGTGGTGTTTACTTTTAAGGAAGTGATGTCCCAGAGAGACCTGGAGAAGTCCATTTAACTCTACCTCTGTCACATTTCTGCTCTGACCTGTCCCCAATCTGTCATTTTATGGTGCCTCCAACATGCATGAAATATAAACACTCCCTGTGTTCCTTTAAGCATGCGGCTAGAGCCTGCTGAGAGAATACTGGCCTGCTTTCTGGAGCGTCCAAAATGTAAATAGTTAACTTCATGGTTTTTATTGTCTAATCTTACAGTGACCCTGATGACTGCTCCTCTCCTGTCCCCCCAAATGCTGGGAAATGGCACATAGAATTCTTTGTTCCCAGGCTTGCCTGAGATTTCAGCAAGTCCTAGTTTTGTTCTGTTGTTGTTGTTGCTACTGTTTTTGTAACATAGGCTTTGTTCATCAAGCTATACATTTTTTAGTTAATAAATTTATTTATTTTTAATTGGAGGATAGTTGCTTTATATTATGTTGGTTTATGCCATAGGTCAGTATGAATAACTATCTAGGCATACCTATGCCCCTCCCTCCCACCTTCTACTCTGTCCCAGCCCTCTAGGTTGTCACAGAGCGTGCGTTTGAGCTCCCTGCATCATATAGCAAATTCCACCTGGCTGTCTATTTTACACATAGTGATGTATGTTTCAGTGCTACTCTCAATTCTTCCCGACCGCTCCTTTTCCACTGTGTTCATAAGTTCACTCTTCTCTCATCATATCCAAAAATATATTATCACATCACTACTGCTACTATTAAATTCTTGAACAACTACTAATATACTTATGCTGTTTCTGTTCCTTTTTTAAACTGGAGAATAATTGCTTTACAGAGTTGCATTGGTTTCTGTGGTACAACTAGGTAGACCAGCACTCTCTCTATACATATATTCCCACCCTGTAGAATCCCCCTCCCACCTCCCCATCCCACCCCCTAGGTCATCACAGAGCACACAGCTGAGCGCCCTGTGCCATCCCGCCACTTCCCACCAGCTGTCTGTCCTACAGATACATGTCTGCTCATTGTTCAGTTGTGTCTGTCTCATCGCAACTACACGGACTATAGCCCGCCTGTCTCCTCTGTCCATGGTATTCTCCAGGCAAGGATACTGGAATGGGTTGCCATTTCCTCCTCCGGGGGGTCTTCTCAACTCCAGGAACTGAACTGGTGTCTCCTACATCACAGGCAGACCCTTTAACACTGAGCCACCACATGATAGTGTATATGTGTCAGTGCTACTCATGCTGTTTCTAACCCTCCTAGCAATCCTGTGAAGTGGCTCTAATTATCATTCCCAATTTACATATGAGGAAACTGGGTGCAAAGAAGTTAAGTAACTTTTCCAAGTTTGCTTGTGTTTTGAGAACACTCACTAGGACGCAACCCCCACTTAATGGTCCAGTCCTAAAGCCTGGGGTCCGTCCAGTTGGCGTGGTGCTTCTCTGAGGCAGAAAGGAGACTTATTCTCCAGTTTCAGCTCCAGATCCTCCAACAACTATCCTCCAACTATCCTCCTGGTAGTTGTTATTATGCCAGATGTGAAGAGCCAGCACTGGAAATGGCACACACGTGTACTCTGGTTCACCTACAAGAGCTACATGTGAACTATTGTCTTCTCCACAATGTGTATTTCTTCAATATTTATTATAACAAGCTAATACTGTCAGAGAGGTTGAGCTTTTAAGTGTTAATACCAGCTTTCTGGTTCTTTGGAAGACCTTTGGATGTGGCATGTGGAATAAAACATACTTCAATATCTTTAAAAGAGAAAAGACATCGTGGAGAAATAATGAGGTCTGACAGTTTCCACATCATTATGACATTATAATGACAGGATAACATTATTACTGTTATCCTGATGACAATAATGAGGAGGACATGGGGATCACAGAATCCTGTGGAAAACCTCCCCTCCAGATCTACCTGCCTTCCATTCACTCATTGATTTGTTCATTCATTCATTCATAGTTTAGTAGTTATTCATTGAGTAGAAGCTACTTGCCTGTCACGTTGCATGGTTCTAGGGGAGCCAGCAGTGAGCCACAACCACAAAAACCCCTGTGTTCATGAATGGAGCAAAGAGAATCCACACGCACAGTAGGTAACTAAATTACATAGTATGCTGTGCTGTGCTTAGTCACTCAGTCTTGTCCGACTCTTTGTGACCTCATGGACTGGAGCCCACCAGGCTCCTCTGTCCATGGAATTCTCCAGGCAGGAATACTGGAGTGGGTAGCCATTTGCTTCTCTAGTGGACCTTCTCATCTCAGAGATCAAACCCGAATCTCCTGCATTGGCAGGCAGCTTCTTTGCCGTTTGAGCCACTAGAGAAGCCTCATATAGTATGTTATAGTATGGAAAGAAAATAAAACAGGGTAAGGTGAGTGTGGCATGTGGGGAGGGTTGTGAATTTATTTTATTTTTGATTCTTTTACCTTATTATGTTTGGGTCTTTGTCTTTATCTATTTATTTATTTGCTAGACAAGGGGTTGCAGTCTTAGCTAGTGTGGTCCCAGGAGGCCTCAGCAAGCCTAAGGTCACCTTCATCTTATCTAGTTATTTAGTAGGCAGAGAGACCCCGCCTCCCACCCCCAACACCTTCAGATCAGTCCCCACCAAGGGCTCTCTATGCACACTTTTTCACCCGGGAAAGTCTTACAGTGGGTTTTCTCTTTCCCTAAGTGGTGTTTCCCCATAGATGTCTTTGACAGAGGAGACCTTTGCTGCTGTGTCCAAAATACTTCTTCTATCAGCTCTGCTGCTACATGAGTATTAAGGTTTCAGTGATGTTCTTCAATCCAGTTCAGAATCAGGTTGACTTACAAGTTCCTTGACCAACAAGGAGTCCCAAGGTGACCCAAAGAGAATGAGTCTGTTAAATTAACTGTTAGCTTTCCTGTCAAATTTCCTCTCAGCTCTCATCTGGCCACTCTAGCTCACGGTGAAGGCAGTTTGACTACTTTTTTCTAAGGATTGTGCCTACATTTCAATTTCTCGGGATCAAACAAACAGACTCTTAATGGGAAATTGAAATTCAGGTATAATCCCAGGGTGAGAAATGAACCAAGAAACCGTGTGATTCCACCTGTTTTTTAAAAATTTTTTTCATTTTGAAAGATGTATCAAGACAGTGATAGAGGAAAATAAAAAAAGATAGCAATCCTGAGCTCAGATCATGTCTTAACCATCAGGCCTATAGGAAATGAAATGCTTTAAAGGGAAAAAATGAGTTTCTCTTTATTTTCTGTCTTTTCCCTTCCCCTCCCTCTTTTTAGATGCATAGGAACAATCAGAGCCTTGATAATTGGCTTTTAGGGATTGCTTTGGTTCCTAAATAATTAGGCCTTGTGCTGATTTCCTTGCCTATTCAACACCTTACAGGCCAAATTCAGTTTAAGGGAAGCTCATGGCTACTGATGAAACTTTAAATTGCTATGTCCTTGGACAAGTTACTTTTAATTAAAGGCTCAGAGGATTCTCTGACCATTAGGAGCATAGATACATCCCTGTGGATTAGGGTGGCCAGGCGGTTGTTTGTCAGAGAGGGGGTGGATCTGAGATATGCTGGGGCCTTACTTGCTGATCATTTCCTGTTTCAAATCCAACACAGTTTCAATTGATTTCCACCCCACCCGCATCTTTTACTAATGGAGCTTTCCCAGTTCTGCCTGAAATCCTGCACAACTGTCGATAGCAAGTGATTCTTTCTGAGGCAGCTATTGTGAAGGCGGTTGTTACTTGCTTTAGCTCCAAGACCAGGGATATATTTACAATAAAAGTTGATTTAGTGAAATCTGGAGGCACATAAAAGAACACAATGTGCAGACCAAGAACTTTTTAGAAATACATTTTTTCTCATTTTACAATTTATTCCTTAGCTACGACTGGGCTTTATCTCTGTCTTCATTGTGAAATTAAAGAAATATTAATAGTAATGCTTGGACTCAGCTTCAATAGGTTTTCTAGTTTGAATGCATTTCAGGACTTTGGTGTTTTTAACAGTTCAAGTGTCTGAGAGTCTTCTCGTGATCATTTAAGATGTATCACCTGGGGGGGCAGCTCTGTGTGTTTGAGGGGTTCTATGTGAATGTAAGGGGTCATATATTTAGGCAGCTAGGCTGGAGCCAGAGTGGAAAGGAGTAGCCTTATAAATCCTGAGAAAATGTCAGAGTGATTACACTGTGACTGTATTCTGGGGGCTGAATGCTTTTTTCATTGCAGCATCAAAGCAAGTGTCAGTTCAGAGATGCTCTCAAGGATTGCAGGAGGGCCGAGACAAAGTTGGTGACCTATGGACTTATTAATGATGTGGAGCTTTATATGATGGTAGTGAATAATGAGGTTTGTTTTTCTCTTAGGCAAATGAGCAGCTCTCATCTCTTAACAATCCTGTAATAATTGGTAAACATTATGTGTGTGTGTGTGTGCGTGCGTGCGAATTTTAACCATACTGTGCTTATGTGTGCTAAGTTGCTTTGGTCATATTCAACTCATTGCAGCCTGTAGACTGCAGCCTGCCAGGCTCCTCTGTCCATGGGATTTTCCAGGCAAGAACACTGGAGTGGGTTGTCATGGCCTCCTCGAGGGGAACTTCCCGACCCAGGGATCAAACCTGCATCTCTTCCATCATGTGCTTTGGCAGGTGAGTTCTTTAGCAGTAGTGCCACCTGGTAAGCCCACTGTACTTGTGGGTAGTATAATAAACACTTTTCCCTTTTAGTGTTTACTCAGGGAATGTCTAAGATAAGAAATCAAACCTTTTCAAACCAAAGTTAGATTGCATTATCTAAGATGGCAGTTTCAATTGTGCTTTTCTGGTTACCTGTAGTTCCCAGCAATGGTCAATAAGATAGCGTTCAGGGCTCCCACCGCAAACCCCATGGAAGGGGTCTCTAGCCGCCATCAGTGGCAGACTAGTAGATGCAAACCCCCTCCCCCGCCTGGCCCAGGAGGCTGAGGGCACTCACTGAGGAGCGGGGGCAGCCAGTTGACGTTGACCTCACAGTGGGAGTCGAGGAATGTCAGGACCTCGCCTCTGGCCACGGACGCCCCCAGGAGTCGGGTCCGGATCAGCCCTTCCCTTTTCCTGGTGCGGACAATCCTCACTTTGGAAAACCGAGCCATGTACTCTTCCAGCTTCTCCTTCAAGTGTTCTGGGAAAGAAGAAGACAGACACAGAAGGACACGGGACATTAGTTACAGCAGACCGACTCCAGGCTGTCTGTGCGGAGAGCGTGCTTGGAAAAAGCCTGCCAAGGTCCTCTCTCTCCTCCTTTCGTCCTGAGGGGAGAGACATGGAAGATTCCTTGCCTAGGGGTCTCTATACTTTACAAGTTCCACTTTTTGTTGTTCAGTTGCTCAGTCGTGTCCGGCTCTTTGCGACCCCATGGACTGTAGCCCACCAGGCTCCTCTGTCCATGGGATTCTCCAGGCAAGAATGCTGGAGTGGGTTGCCATTTCCTCCTCCAGGGGACCTTCCCGACCCAGGAATGGAACCTGCATGTCCTGCATCAGCAGGTGGATTCTTTACCGCTGAGCCACCAGGGGAGCCCACGGGTTCCAGAATGCTCCATAAGATGCAAATACTGCCTTCTGTGTGGACAAGGACCAGCCAGCGCTCCACCCCAAAGTTGTTGTGGGTCTGGGACCCCCAGGCTGTAGCCTAGCCAGCCTGCACCCAGGCAGGAATCAGCCCTGGGTCCCTGCTGGCCGGGTCAGGTGACCGTTCCAGGACATGGGCTTTTGCCAACAAGAGGGCCCGTCCAGCAAGGCTTTGCATAGTGTTCTCTGTATTGAAAATAGTGCATATAAAACCACAGGAAAGAAAAATATACCTCAAACCAACAGAAGGGCTGCCTGGTGGGTCTAGTGGTAAAGAACCCGACTGTCGAAGCAGGAGACATAAGAGATGTGAGTTCAGCCTCTGGGTCTGGAAGCTCCCCTGGAGGAGGACAAGGCAACCCACTCCAGTATTCTTGCCTGGAGAATCCCCATGGACAGAGGAGCCTGGTGGGCTACAGTCCACGAGATCACAAAGAGTCGGACACAACTGAAGCGACTTAGCACAAATAACAGGAACCAGATTTCCTCCCCCCTGCCAGGTAATAGCAAACTGGCAAGAAACTTCAGCTCCTGGATTTGAATTTGAAGTGGAAAGTGACTGATTTACTGTGAAAATTAGATATGGAGAGGGACAAGCAGATGAGATGCTATATAATCATTTTGGACTTGGCTAAGATTGGAAAAAAAAATTGGAAAGCTTTCTTTGCCTAATTAAAAAAATGTAAACAAAATGAAATGAGATAACTTATTTATGGAATAAAACATTTCCTACTGGCTGTGATAAAGTACATTTATCTCTCAGTTCTTTTGTATGCCAAAGAAGTGTATTTTGGTAGCTTTCTGTGGGATATGTGCTCATATAATTGACATCATCTGCTCTCAACCTCCCACATGTAAAACCTTAGGAGGGCTTTCCTGGAGTTTGTAACAAGTAGAGTCTAATATTCATTGAAATAGAATCTTAGCATGCTGTATGTTCTGTAGGTTTCGCTTTCAAACTGTCTCTGCTTGTTTGCAATCAAAGGCAATATTATTATTAAGTCTCCTTCTGTGATTTCTAACAATAGCGGTTCATGGAAGGATTTATGATCTTGCTTTTTTTTTTTTTTTTTGGAGTATTGGCTCAGTGGTAAAGAATCTGCCTACCAATGCAGGAAATTTGGGTTCAGTTCCTGGGTAAGGAAGATCCCCTGGAGAAGGAAATGGCAATCCACTGCGGTATTCTTGCCTGGAGAATACCATGGACAGAGGAGCCTGGTGGGCTACACTCTGTGGTGTTGCAGAGAGTCAGACATGACTGAGCAACTGAGCACGCAGGCACGGTTGCTTTACAATGTTGTGTTAATTTCTGCTGTGGAGCAGAATGAATCAGCCGCAAGTATACATATATCCCCTTTTTTGAATTTCCTTCCCATTTAGGTCTTCACAGAGCACTGGGTAGAGTTCCTTGTGCTATACAGTAAGTTCTCAGTAGTTTCTTATTGTATACAAAGGATCAATAGTGTATACTGATCAATCCCAATCTCCTAGTTCATCCCACCCCAACCTCCATTGCCTGCTTCGTGTCCATAGGTTTGTTCTCTACATCTGTGTCTCTATTCCTACCCTGAAAATAGTTTCATGAGTACCATTTTTCTTGATTCCAAATGTATGAGTTAATATATGGTACTTCTTTTTCTCTGACTTACTTCATTCTATAGGACAGCCTCTAGGTCTGTCCACATCTCTGCAAACCTCCCTGCTCTTCTGTCGATTGTACCACTGTGGGCATCATCTTGACAATCCGACTGCCTTCTCTGCTTGACTCTCTGACCCCCAAGGACTAAAGTAGTCTTTTTTCAAGGGAGAGAGGATTAATTCTTTGTAGCTGCCTAGGAGAAAGTACTTCTTTTTAGAAGAGATTAGCCTCCCACATGTCCCAAGGCAGAGGGTTGTTAGAAGCAGAGGGTTGTTGGTCACCTGCTAAGGACTGTCCCCACTTGGGCTTGACGCTTCCAAACTTTCTAGTTTATCGGGGACTCTCTAAACCTAGTGGGAGCATCTCTACATGTTGCCTTTCCCTCTCTGTATGTTTTCTGCTTCTGTGTATTTTTCATCAAAGTCCGTTTTAATACACTAAGAAGATTGTCAGGTATGAATGCACTAATCTCAAGGGGTTTGACCCCACAGCGAGTCCACTAAATGTTCAAATCAATTCCTCTAATTTGAACTTTGTGGTAATAATTAGGTTGCTTTGCCTCCGAGTAATGACCTAGTTGACTGCCCCTTGGAGGGGTCTGTTTTTTCTTAGTAGTTCAGTTATAGCATTTAATTAACCATAGCTCACCATGAAGAAGATATTATTCATCTGCTTAGCAAATTAGACTCTCATACAAGGAAATTCTTGAGGATGGTGGAGATATCTTTAATTAAAAACATTTTTTCATTTCTTTTGTATGAACAGTTTTGAGATTCATTTCAAAATCTTACTCAAATGATTTTAAACATGCTTTGGTATTACTTAAACACAGCATCTTTGAAGATCCCTTTTGAATTCATTTAATTTGAAGAATGACAGGAGAATTTATGGTATCTTTATAAAAGAGACATTTCTTTTTTGACTAGGAAACATTTGTAGAACCATTAACTTTTTTTTTTTGGTTGGTGACCCTAGACTAGCAGTGGAAATATTACTGTTAAAATCCACTAAGTGGTACCCTGATGACCTGGAAAAGTTAATATAATTTCAAATATACCAGTTTTTGCCCAAGGTTTATGATATCACTGGGAGGCAGTAATGAAATGTTGAGTTATACTCAAGTGACATTTTGGTGTCTTGCTACTGTCGATATTAAGTACAGCAGTTTTCTGAATGTATTTACCCTTTTTTACTAGAGATTTCAGTATGCTCCATGAACTTACACATTCATTAGTATATTTATCATTCAGGATAGCAACTAAGTGCTAAAAAAGTTGCCTTCAATGATTTGCAGTCGAGAATCAAGGACATGAATTCTAGACCTATTACTCACTGGACCTATATCTTCAGTTAAGTAATTTCAGTTTTCACCTGTGGAATGTGATGTGTGTATGTGTGTTCAGTATCCAACTCTTTGCGACCTCAAGGACTGTAGCCCACCAGGCTCTTCTGTCCATGGAATTTCCCAGGCAAGAATACTGGAGTGGGTTGCCGTTCTCTTCTCCAGGGGATCTTCCCAACCCGGGGATCGAACCCACATCTCCTGCTTGGCAGGCAGATTCTTTACCACTGAGCTACCTGGGTAACCATGGAATGTGATGAAAGTGAAGGTGAAAGTGAAGTCGCTCAGTCGCATCTGACTCTTTGTGACTCCGTGGACTGTAGCCTGCCAGGCTCCTCCGTCTGTGGGATTTTCCAGGCAAGAATACTGGAGTGGGTTGCCATTTCCTTCTCCAGGAGATCTTCCCAATCCAGGGATTGAACCCAGGTCTCCCACATTGTAGGCAGATGGTTTACCATCTGAGCCACCAGGAAGGCATGGAATGTGATGAGTTGATCTTAAATATTCCTTCCAATTCTATGATTCTGTGATTTCCCTTGTCATGTTTTACTTATGCTATAGATCTAGTCTATGAAGTATTTCATTTTTCCTGAAAAGCATCCTAGAGATTGGCCTTCCAGTGTTTCTTTGGGTCACATGTCACATTGAAAAGCAAGAATCAACTCAAGATAAAGCTGACATGTGTCAGAGGTTTAGTCAAAAGGCAAATGCCATGTCTTGTCTTTGGTCAACACAGTATCTGTCTGGTCTCCCCAAGCTCCCTGTCTTCAAGACTGTCACTGGTGTCAAAAATCATGACTTTGAAGCACTCTAAGTTCATCAAAGATTTAGGTCTGTTCAATAAATTTAAGTGAAAGTTGCTCAGTCATGTCCGACTCTTTGCGACCCCATAGACTATATAGTCCATGAAATTCTCCAGGCAAGAATACTGGAGGGTATTATGCTTATTATGTTGGGAAAATATAGTAGCAGAGTTTAGACAGCTCTCTGGTCTACCTTTGAGCGATTCCCCAAGGCGTAGGGAATCTAAGTGACCAGGAGTGTTACAGAGCAAGGTCTGAGTTTCCTGAGTGGAGAACTCACCAGAGGCTGGACAAACAGCTGCCATGGGCTCAGCAGGTTCCTTCTCCTTTGAATCCCCTAATTTAATCTCAAGGAGAGAGCAGGAGGGGTAGGAGACCCAAGTGACCTGGAGATATGAGTTCTGTGTCTAAATACATACTATGAAGCTGACATTTCTTTGATGTTTATTCTTTGGTGTTGGTAGAGTACAGCAGCGTGCATTTGTGCCTGCCAAGTTGCTTCAGTCATGTCCTACTCTTAGTGACCCTATGGATTATAGCTCACCCAGCTCCTCTGTCCATGGGATTCTCCAGGCAAGAATACTGGAGTGGGTTGCCATGGCCTCATCCAGGGGATCTTCCCAATCCAGGAATCAAACCCACATCTCTTATGTCTCCTGCATTGGCAGGCAAGTTCTTTACTACTAGCACCACCTAGAAGCCTTAGTGTATAGCAGAAGATGACCTTAAGAGCACATAT